CTCAGTTTGACACCCCTGCCTATAGGCTATAAGCATATATTATTTTTATCCATTATATATTAGAAAAGCATGAAATAAAACTTTCATTAGCATGATAGATCTTGCCACGTTTTTCTTTTTAAATGAATGTTAAATTTTATTCACACCAAATAAAACATTGCTTACATATAATACATCTTTATTTAAAAATTAACGAAACATAAAATGGCTGATTTTGTAACCAAGTCGAGTGAATACTAACAAATCCCAAACCACACCCTAAAACTCTCGTCGTAGGCGTTCCCCCTCGATCCGGATAGAGCACAGTCGATCTCGCCACCTTCTCATGCAGTCTTGGCTCTTACCAGCAGAACTAGTAAACTTTTTCTATCAGAATTGATCCCTAAAATTAATAAACTTTTTTAAAATCAGAAATCCAAGCTTCTATCGAGAGTCGGGTTTGACTCGAAGCAAACAGTTTACCAGCATGATATCCATCATGTATATAAAAACAAAAATCTGTAATGTGTTTAACTGTACAAAGAAACAAATAAAGCACCAAAACAATTCAAACTTGGTGAGTACAAGTTGAATTCTATTTTCTTAGTTTTTTAAAATTATGTTACTTTTCTAACATCAACTGGCACTACTAAAAAAATCTGTGTAGCCACGGAATTTTTCATGGATGTGGCATTATATTCGTGGCTATATAGACTCATAACCACGAAAAACCACGAATAAATTTCGTGGGTATATCGTCGTGGCTAGTTTTAATCGTGATTTTTCGTGGTTAACTAGTTACGAAATACCACGTTATTTCCGTGGCTAAGGTAGCCACATAAAAGCCACCAATATTTTCGTGACTAAGTAGCCACGTATTAGATAGTGTCTATTCCGTGGCATATAGCCACGAACCATGGTTGTCTTTTTAGAAGTCAATTATGTATTTATCCGGTGAAATTTTACCAGTTACAACGAAAATCATTTAAGAAAATTCTACTATTTTTCAAATGGAATTTTAAAATAAAAGCATGTAAAATCAAAGTATTCTATTAAAGATGGTAGAGGGATGAATGAAGAGATGAAATTAAAATATTCACTTAACTTTTTTTTGTTTTTGGAAAATTATATTCACTTAACTTTGATGTTCCATTAATCTTTTTATCTCATGCATTTGAGATTAAGATCCCATTTATTCTTCTCGCATTCACCAATTTGATCCTATGTTTGCTAATGAATCTGGACACCAGCGATGCGGAAAGAGATTTTATTTTATGTATTATAGGTATAAAAACATTATTCATATTATTTTTGGAGTGTATTTATACAAACTTATTGAAAACAGCATTAGTATACTGGAAACGAGGATGTTCCATTTTATTCTTAGAAATTCAAAATAGAAAATAATCTCTTTTTATATACCCCTCAAAACATTATGGGAATCCAAAATACACACGACACC